GCTATTGCGGCCCTTCGTTGAGTGGACTAGAATATGGAAGACAGATTCAGCTCTGATTTTCTCTATATCTCTGCCTTTTAAATAAAAATATTTCATTTATTTAATCTGAGAGGCAGAGAAACAAGACAGAGAGAGGGAAAGACACAGAGCCTTTCTTCTGGTGGGGGCTGGGCCAGGCCCAAAGCAGCAACTTGCAATCTGTCTGGCCTTCCCTGTGGGCGGCAGGGTCCATCTTCCACTGTTCCCCGTGCGCATTAGCAGGGAGCTGGATCAGAAACAGGGCAGCCAGGACTCAAACCAGCTTACCCTGCTGCACTGTACAAATGAAAGCCTTTGAGTGTAGAATTCATAGTAAAAGAAGTGCATTTAAAACAGAACATGTATTTCACTGGGTGTCAGATGTACAAATATTTTCTATAAAACGGTCTTTTTCTCCCTACTTTCCACATTTTATAATTTAAAAAAGGTCCATTCTAGAGCATCCACACCCAACCCCGACATCGAGTCTCCATTCCTGCAGGTTCTGGTAACTCCACCAGGCACACGTCCAGGGGCTCCGAGTTCCCCTCCGCCAGTCAGGACTGCTCATCCTAACATGTAAAGGTGTCCTCGCTTCGCCTGCCTGGTGGCTCTACTACCTGGGAGCCAAGACTCGGAACACCTGACAAGAGGCAGAGGTGGGCCGGCAGCAGGCCTCCCATCCACTGAGTGCGGATGCCGCTGGCCATGCCTCGCTCAGCAGGTGTCCTCCCGCCCAGCGACAGGTGGTGTCACCACCGTTCTGTGGGCGCTCGCCCTGCACCCTGTGCTCATTCCGCCCACCCAGCAATGTCTCCGCGATACTGCCACATCCTTATAACTTCCCGCTCCCTCCCCACGTACGTGCTGCTGCTCAACTCCCTCACCGCATGTGCCCGTCTGCCGTGACGTCATCTTCACGGGATCCCACCGTGTGGAGCTGTGAGGGTCCCCGCCATCTGTCTGCCCACGCCCACAACAAGGACAGCCCTTAATTAACCGTGACAGCTTCGTCAGACTTGCCCATGTGGATGGTCTGGTGTCCACGCATCTTCTGACTTCACAGTCCCACCAGTTATTCTTATTTGTCTTCCTTCCAAATTAACTTGGAAAACAAGCCAAGAAGACATCTCACACCGCCTGACTCTCTGACAAGCACTTCTGCTGTGTTCTGCATGGTGCTGCTCCGCGAGTCTTCCTCCCAGCCCATCCTTCTTCCAGAAGACCCTACTGGATCTTCACTGGACTGGTGTTTGGCTTTGCTGCTTCCCAGAGGAGCACCCCAGTGGGGTTCGAGCCCCACTGTCCCACTTCTGGTTCCAGCTACCCGCAAAAGCACACCTTGAACAGCAGGTGGTGTCTCAGGACGTGGGTCCCCAACACCCACCTGGAAACCTGGAATGAGCTCTCAGCTCCTGGTTTCAGCCTGGCCCAGTCCCAGCTGCATGAGCACTGGGGTCGTGGACCAGTGGGTGGAAGAACTCTCATCCGCCTTTCACATAAACAAGCTTATTTAAACAAAACAAAAACAAGTCCCAGAGCAGTGCAGACCAGAGAACGATCAACTTCTCAAGCACTGAGGGAAAGTCAAGCTTTGCGAACTGTCACACACACACACACACACACACACACACACACACACACACACACCTCCGCCCTGGGTCCAACAGGCAACACAGAGCAAATGGGTGTGCTTGTGCTCTGGTGAAACTTTATTTATAAAAACATCAGCTGGGGGCCACAGTTTGTCTTTGTTGAAGCCACAGTTAGGAGCATGCGAAGCTCTGGCTGGCAGCTCAGAACCTGGCACCCCCCAGTCTCTGGCTGGGTCTCTCAGCACAAACATCTCACCACCTTGCAAACATCGCTTCCATGCAAAGTGGGAACAAGAAAGCACTTTTGATTTTGTTAAACAGTTTATGCATTTGAAAATCCGTGCGAGAGAAAGGATCTTTCAGTAAGGGTTCACTCCCCAAAGGGCCGTGACCTCCAGGGCTGAGCCAGGCTGAAGCCGGCAGCTTCTTCAGGATCTCCCATGTGGGCTCAAGCACTGGGACCATCCTCCACTACTTTCCTAGTCCCAGGCAGAGAGCTGGATGAGAAGCAGAGTAGCTGGGACCCAAAGTGGCACCCCTATGGTATGCTGGTGTGGCAGGCAGTGGCATTACTCATTATGCCCTAAAGCTGACCCCATAAAAACACTTTCTACAGTGCCTGGAGTATGACAGGTGCTGAGACTGGGGGGTGCTGGGGGCATGAGGATATCACACAGCTGTGGCACCAGGAGGGAGTGTCTTCTTCAAAATACCCCAGGAATACTGGGGGAAAAATCACTGATTTCTGTGTCAAGGCATTTCAAGTTCAGGCACTAGGATACAGTTTTACAGGAGTCAGATGGTGCAGGTGCGCTGAGGTGGCATTTGGTGGGCTCGCTGAGATGCCGCTTGGGATCCCATAACCCACATCAAGGTCCAACTCCACTCCTGGGGCTGCGAAGATCTGGGACCAGATCCGTCCCCTACTCACCACGTCCCCTGCTTGTGTGGCTGCCAAGGCTGCTTGGCACCCAGGCAGCGCCCTGTAAGAGGCAGCTCTGGGAAAAGGATGAGGCTCCTGAGCAGGATCTAGCCCTGTCCTGCTCACCATGAATTCCTCCAGCCTGAGTTGGAGGTTGGCAGGCACTTACAGCTGTGTACCCACAGCATGAGGTCACCTACCCTGCCCAGCTGCCTCTACGCTGCCCGCCCAACAGGCACCAGAGAGCCAGGGCTTCAGGACCATGTGACCAGCAACTCTGCCAAGAGCACTGTCCCACCCACAGGGAATGGCAGCAGAGGGCGAGGGTGGCTGAAGGCGAAACCAGCGGGCTGCTATCACTCTGGCTACTCCAAGAACTCTCCAAAGCATGGCCCCTTCCAGTGCGGCACACGCAGGTTGCACAGCACACCCCTTGCACTGGTCATGGAGCACAGCATCGAAGGCAAGCCCTGGACAGCAGTTCCCAGCCCCCCGTGGGGATAGAAGTCCAGCTGAGGGGACACAGAAGGTGCAGTGGACCAGAGGGAGAGATGGCTGTGCAGACAGGACAGGACCAGCAGGCAGCTAATGGACCAGGAGGCCTGTGGTTCCAGCTGACTCCCACCCTGGCATGACACTGTGAGCATCATATCTGGGGCTCCCGAATGCCTTCTGGTACAAACCCCATGTCACCCCCATCTGCGAGACTGGAGGGAAGGCCAGGGGATGCAGCAACGGTGTGGGGACTTGTAGCCTTGTGGTAATCAGATATGCATTGGTCCTGCAGCCAGTGAGATAAGCAGGCCCTGCGGTGGACAAGAGGCCCGCAGGCTGCACGTGTGACAGCGGCTCCGGCCCAAATCCCACACGGCCATCCTAGTAAAAGCTCAGAATTACATCTGGGTCTTCTTCCGTATCCGCAGGCCTGCCCCAGGGACTCAGCTGGGGAGGACCCAGTCAAGGAGTTAGGCTAACAGGCAGACGGGCCAGGTTCTTGATGCAATTTCTTTAAAAATGGACAAGATGCTGGCTTTTCCCCCAAGGCTGCAAGATCACAGTGTGAGTCCATTCCGAGTTCCCAAGTTCCTCATGAGACCAGCAGCCGACTGCTGGGCAGTTTCTCCAAGGTGAATCCTGCTTCTCTGAATTTCCACTTTCATCATAATAGCCAGGAAGTGTCTTTCAGAGAATGCCACCTGCTTATCTCCTCAAAGCCACCTTTGGCCAACGAGCCAACCTTCTCTCCTTGGAGCCTCCAATTTTATCACTGTGAGAACAGAAAGAGATCCCCATTGCACCATTCTGATGGCTTTGTTTCGAGCAAGCTAGACAAGATGATGGATTCTGCCATTCCCTAGCCCTGAAGAGTGTTGGCTCTCATTCTGCTCACCCAAACTGTGCTTAAAAGGCAGCACTTCCACCCTCCTCTCCTGCCTTTCCCTCTTGAAGTTGCCTCCTCCCTTGCTGACCACTGTGGCAGCAGGCTTCTGGCTTAGCACATCTCACTTTTCTCACTGAAACCATGAGCCAAGAACCAACGAGGTCTCCATGCTTTGCAACAAATCCTCCCTAGCATGTGTATGCATAAGACACGCCAGTGTTTGGAGTCAGGTGTGTGTGTGAGCTCTGGGAGAAAGCAGGTGGATCAGAGTAAGGGCCCCAGGCCAGCTAGCAGGGCAAACCCGCCTGTTTGGGCTCATGACCGGGGGTCATGACCGGGCTCATGACCGGGGGTGCCCACAGGGGCCAGGGCCTCTGCTTGGGCAACTCCATGTATCTTAGTTAACACACATGCCTATGGAGACACAAGAACAAGGGGACGGAAACAGCAGGCAATGCAGCAGTGTCTCTCAGCTCCCCCGGAAGAGCTTCAAGGAGTATGCCCTCAGCTGGTGTGACCTGGAAATGGGGCTGGCTCCTGGTCACACTCTGTGGCTTAATCACTGCCCAAGTGTGAGCAGGAAGGAGGCACCCTGGGGACCATGTGCAGAGGCCCTGGGTCTGCACTGTACCTGTTTCCTGCTTCTGGCCACCATCCCTCAGGATACCCCGAGCAGCATTCAGAAGCCATCAGAGTTCACGGACCATCTTCACACCCGCAGGCTGCCCTGTGAGTGGACATAAGGCCTGCACTCACCAGGCCCAGCCCCTAGGCTAGGAGTGATGGCTTTACTTAACAGCAGGGTCAGCTGTGTGACTGCAGCCAGACTGGGAGCTCCAGGACAGGATGCGGGCAGGATGGATCTGTCCTTGTGGCTGGCCAGTACCCCCTGCAGCCACACGGGGGGTCCTGGGCTGCTTCAGTGGCCTCAGGAACCTGCTGGTTTCTCGCAAGCACCGCTCATGTTCACGTTTTCATGTCTGCCCAGCACGGGTGCATGTTCTGGAACCCACAAGGGCAGCAGTGCATGGGGTCTCTCCGTAACTCAAATCAAGCAGCTGGCTCAGGGACACTCGGCAATCAGTACCACTGTTTTCAGCAGGTGCCTGGACGCTGAAGGAGAGGAGCAGCTGGGAGAGGAGCCAGGACCCAAAAAGTGTCAACAGCCATGGCATGGGTTGCCCTGTGAGTGGGGACTCCAGGTGCCTCAGCCCAGAAAGTGGAGGGGCATGCAGATGGGGAACCACAGAGGAGATACGGCCCTGGGGCAGGCACAGGATAGAAGTGGCTATGAGCATTTGAACTGGACTACCAGCCACCCCTAAAGCTGGCTGAGAATCCAGAGCAGTGCAGCCCCATTGACCCTTGAACTTCCAGACTATGAGGGGCTGCTGAGGGGCAGGGCATCTGCCTGCACTGCCTGCCTGGCCCTGGGGCAGCCCCGGCCAGAAGGCGGTCAGAGCCCCTGGGCTCAGATGGATGTGGGCAGGACCTGATATGGAGGAAGTAGGTAACAGAGGCAGCCTTCAGCTCAGGGTACTAGGAGGTTGCCTGTCTCCAGGTTTTGGAGGCACGCTGGGGTAGGAGCACCAAGGAGCAGGGTCTCCAACCTGCTAATCAGGGGTGGGGGTACCCCAGAAGATGAGGGAACCCCCAAAGCCAGCAGAACTTTGAGGAGACTCTGGCACTCACCCAACTGGCCAGGGCTCCGGTGGCAGGGCACATGGCAATCCCAGCAGCCACAGGCTCACCTGCAGAGAACACTCAGCCCTCAACTTCGGGGGACGTACTCTGTGCAAACTGCTGATACCCAGGAAACCCCAACAGGCACTGGGCTCTCCATGTGCCCTCCTGGGCAAGGCTCTGCCCAGCTAGACCAGAGCTGGGCTTCACGGTTGGGGGTGTGGAGGCCCGGCGACGAGTAACTCGTGACTTGGTTTTCCCGGCAGTTCTCCTGATTAACAGGCACTTGGAAAGGGACCCTGGAGCAAAGGGCACAGCCAGAAGCATCTCTCATCTGCCCCAGGAGCCTTTTCGGTGGTACAGAAACCCAGGAGGCGGGAGGGCACAGCCGAAGGTGCCCCTCCCTACAGCAGGTGTCTCCGTTCCCTGGCGCATTTTCCAGCAGTTCTCACCACCCGTCAGGCTGGCTCTTTCTGGCATGTTCTCTCTGGCCTCTAAGAAGCTATGTGGCCACTAAGGCACGGGACCTCCTTTCCCAGGAAAGCTGGGCCAGGGGTTGCAGCAGGGGGCTGCTTTCCTCAGCTCACAAACGCCCAGCTGCCCGCTGCCTGCCCAGTACACCGCCCCCTTCCTCCCTAGGTGTCCCCCCACTGTCCTGTGTCCCCAGCCTACCTTGTCTTGCTCTTCACACGGGGGCATCCTCCTGGGGGTGGCAGGGAGGAGAGGGGAAGGAGTTTGGCCACTTGGGGCTGCACTAAAGGCAGTCCAGCTGATGGCCAAAGCCAACATCTGGGTGGTGACAGTCCCATCCTGCCCAGAGAGAATGTGCCACGCAGGGTTGCCCCAGCACCCCTGGCTCCCCATGCCAACCTCACCCTCCCAGCAAACACCACCCCCAGAAGTCAGTGCAGCAGCCAGTCCCTCAGCAGTGGGAAGCATAGCCCAACCTCAGCCCCTCGGACCTCTTGGGGTGCACATTTATTGTTTTGCATCAGAACCTGGGGGTGGGGGACATCCTCCAGGCTCTCCACCCAGCAGGTGTCAGCAGCAACCAACCAGCCCTTGTGGTGACTAACAAAACTGGGCTGGGGCTGGGGCAGAGCTGTCCAGTGAGAGCCTCAGCTGCCCAGGGTCAGTGAACTTTCTAGATTTGGAGGGCCCTTTGCTCCCAGGGCAGCCACTCAATAATGCTGCCTTCACAGCACAGAAGCAGCCGGAGAGCTTGTGTGGGCGCAGCTGGGTGTCAATCAACTTCATTCACAAAAGCAGAAAACATGCTTGACCCCGGTCCCTGCCTGGCCCACCTCCGGGCAGCAGTTCCCCAGCCAGCCCTGCCTTGCCTTGGCCACTCCCCCAGCTCCCAGGCTTGGGTCCACCCCACCCTGGGGAAATGGCCACCCCTGAGATTCTCACAGGAGATGACACCCACAGCTAAGGCCAGCCACGTGCCAAATGCTTCCCAGGCGTGTTCAGCAACAACAGGGAGTGGTGGTGAGAGCCAGCGTGACCAAGGGTACCCAACATTCACCTGGCTATCTGTCCTTCCTGCCCTCTGCACCCACTGCAGAGCAGGAGCTCCCGGGGCAGCAACAGCAGCACCCTCCAACATTCCTGGTCAGGGCTGGGCCCAGCAGCAAAGCCAAGTGTGTGGGGTGGCATCTTCACCCCGAGAGCCATCACAGGTGTAAGCTCTCTGATCCACCCCCAGGCAGTAAGCACCCCACCCCTGGGAATTCTCAAACACAGCCACTCTACCCCAAAGGCAGAGGACAGCAAGCCAAGAAACCCAAGCATGGGCCTGGCTGGGACAGCGCGGGGAGAGGGGGCTGCCTGGCTGGCCCTGCCTCCCGCCTGTCTGTCCACTGGCTAAGGTCACAGCGGCTCCACTCTAAGGCCACTCCACTCCAGCCTGGCTGGGACTGTGGCGACAGCCCAGGCTTAGCGGCTGGAGCCAAAGGGCTGGGGCATGACAGCTGTAGGGGCCAGGCCTCTCCCCCCGCCCCCCCTGTGAGGCCCCAACCTCCTTGGGAACACAGCCAAGTGTGTGAGTGTGGTAGCCCACCATGTGGCGCTTCAGGATGCCCACTTCTGCCTCTCCTCCCGGTCCCTCTGCTCCTTGTTAGAAGGCGCCGTTTCCCACGGGGTCTGAACAAAGATGAGCCACCACAGGGTCAGGCCAGCAAGGCACTGAGAAAGTCAAGGCAGGTGGACACCAGCTGGGCAAGGCCGGGCGGGAGGCCCAGGCCGCCCCACCCTCCTGAGATAGGGAGCTGTGCTTGTCCTGCTGGCCTGGGTCTGGGTCAGCCCCGTGTTAGCACAGGTGAACCTGCAGGGGCACAGGCCCCTGTGTGACGGTCACTTGTGGTGGGTGGTTGTGGCCAAGGGTGAGCTCAACTCCAAGTGAAGCCCTAGCTCTTGGGGACAGGCGTGGTGGGGTTGGGGGAACAGAGTGGGGTCAAAGGCTGGGAAGGCTCTCAGAGAACTTAGAAATCAGGCTAGAACGCTGACTGCACGGGGGACCCAAGTGCCCACGAGTGTGCAACTGGCAGAGTGGGAGTGACGCAGCCCCCAAGGGGACAGACCCTTGACACCCAGCACGGCCTGTGTGACCCAGGATACTGTGCTGAGTAACAAGGTTCAGACACCTGCTACGGCAGAGATGCTAACACTGAAATCCACCCAGAGAAGGGAGAGGCTGTCGGCACGGAGCCTTGACCTCTTTCACACGGGAATCATGAGCCAAGACCCTCGAGGCCCCATGGACACGGAGCTGTGGCTGGGCACACACAGCCGTCCAGCTGCAGAGGACAAGCTGCCCTGCCACCCTGGAACACACAGGACAGTGAGGAAAAGAACCCCCTGCTCCACTGACCACAATGGACAGCCGCTCCTCCCACTGAGGTCACTCCCGCTGCCCCCGTGCAGCCTGGCCTCACCACCCATCCAGGAGGGCCACACTGACCACCGCATCCCCAGTGTCCTGGTTTCTGCACGTCTCATTCACACTGGGCACCCTGCCCTCCATGTCCATCTGGAGCCTCTGAGGGTCAGACCCTGGCTTCATCCCGGGTGCTGCTTCCCGGACTGCGCTTAAGGAAGGACCAAAACAGGATGGGCCCAGGGCTGACCACACCCCGCCCGTCTCGGTCGGCGGAAGTATGAAGTTCAAAGGGAGCTTGGAAAGCCCACGCATCTGAGGAATTTCTACAGAGACTTGGTGTTGGGCAAGAGCTTCTGGAGTAAGTGACATGCAGGCTGGCCTCCCCACCCTAGCAGATGGAGGCCAGGTTCAAGTTACACCAGGAGATCAAAGACAGACAGATGGGTGCTGTGCCAGCATTCCTGTCCAGATTCCACTACAGTGGAGCCGCTCTGGTCTCCTGCCCCCACTGACCCCAGCCTGGGCCCAGTTTGCTTGCTCTGGGGATTCTGTGTGCAGATGGATCATTCTTGCTCAGCTTCTGACACGAGTTCCTTGACTCACACACCTGCACACAGAGGCTGGTCCAGGCCCCACTCACCTGTCCTTGGGAAGGTAAGGCAAGACGAAGCTGCAGGAGCTTTGCAAAATGGTAAACCCTTTTGGCAACCTGGGCAACAAGCCCCCAGGAACCCTTCAAGTGATAGCATCTCTCGCTCCCCACCTTCCTTCCAGACAAATCCGACCACAGCCCTAGAACCATAGATGGGAAAGAAACGTGCCCAGTGTTGGGAGCCCATGCAACGGTCCCTTTCCAGAGGCCCAGGAAAACCTGCCCCCTAACACGGAGGAGCCCTAAGAGTCAGCAAGGACCACAATGACCCCAGGACTGCCAGGACTTGAACCCTGGGCTGCCACGGACCATGTAGACTGCACTTGTGGTTTCTAGATGTTAGTTCAAGTTCAACAGATCCTCAAAGACAAGTCAACAGTAATACCTTGACTTAACAAAAGCAAACAAAGTGAGAGATAAAAAAACCAGTCCTGCCCTGGTTTCGCCAGGCTGGCCGGGACCTGTGGGCCAGCTGCCCAGTGTGGGCTTCTACCCTGGTTCTTGCAGCTTGTCTCCAGGTTCCCCAAACTTTCCTTAGCACCATGTCCAGGCCCACTCTACATGCAACATCTGATCACAGCAAGGGAAGACCGCTGAGCTGGGTGGTGGCCAGCCCTGGATGGACACAAGTGTTCTGGGGCTAGTAACAGCTGTGCCCACCAGACCAGTGCACAGGCCAAGTCTGTGGGGCCCTGTGCAGGCCACCCTGCCAGCCCACAGCCTCTCACGATGAGCTGGTCCAATGACTGACAGCAGACACACAGTGCCACAAGAGCAGCGTCCAGGCAAGATGGCTAATGAGGGAGGCAGGGAGTAAGCTGTGTCCACGGAAAGCAGTCTGCATCTGGGAGGTGACGTGGAAGCTGCCAGGGTTCCACA